GCCCCTTTTTTTTTTTTTTTTTTTTTGTTCACAGGTGGATTATAATTCTAGAACTTAGAGAAGGAGAGGATTCGTGGGCTTGATGGACAAGAAGGCATCAAAACCGGACATATTGGAGAGATCTAAAGGAGATAAAAGAGAAGAAGAGTAACAAAATACGAGAAAGGCTGTGTTTGCACTTTCCCAATTTCTGAAGTTCTTATTTGACTTTAGCATTGCTATATCTCAAAACATGTCATGTCATGTAATATAACCTCAAATAACCTTCATAAAAAAGACACTTCAGTCTCGAAGAAAAAAAGAAGAAGAAGAAGATTGCCTGATTTTTTTTTTGAATGTTTATGGGATAGCTGTGATGAATGAGCAAAACTATGCACATAAATTAGGCAGTTATCCTTGAAATTAACTTATAAGACCACTAAAGTAATCTTTTTTTCTGTTAGCTCTATGATGTTCTTGCCTATTAGTTACAAAAGAATGTTGAGCACCCTAGAGAGATGTATATGGACAGGCATATAAATTGATTTCTCTAGAGATGCAAGAATGAATGGAAGCTAATACTTAGAGGGAGATGAAGAGGGATAGGGAGGGAGAGAAAGAGACAGAGACCTCTAGTATGAGAGAAAAAAATTACTTTAATAGAGAGGGAAGAGTGGAGATCTGTGTAATGGCCTCCTTTTTACTATTTAAATCTGGTTTTATTTAGAAGGGCTGGTTACCTATAGTACAAGACCGGATGAATAATCTAGATTTAATAAGATATGCAACATCTAATAGGAATGATTGGATTAGAAGGATTCATAAAGTTGAGCCCTAGTTGGGGTGATGATGCTTTTATGTCAGCTTATTAAGGAACCAATTTAACAATTGAAGTCTATTTTTGCTATAAAAAATATATTGGGAACTTTTTTTTTTCTTACCATTCTTAGAATTTGAAAATATAACGACTATAAAATTGTTAATCCTTCTCAGTACTTTCTTCTCATCTGTAGGCTATCCAGGTCAACAAAGGGCTAAAGTTTCTGAGCTATCCAAATTTGGAAGACCGGTATGTGAAGCATATCAATTTTTTTCTAAACAATAAGAGTTTGTGCTTGCAGTCCCTAAAATTATTCATGTTGGTTGTGACACTAAAGATGAAGGGAAATTGATTCTAGTTGTGTGAATTTTGATTTAGTCGTGATGATTGTACTAAACGTGAGTCATTTTAATGTTATTTTTCACTGCACTGAATACGTTCTTTTTTTTACTGCGAAGTTTGGCTGCATTTCCATTCGTTTAGAATGCTATATTTTTGGCACAACTTTTTAGGCTTCAGGATAAACAATAGCTTTGTCATGTTGTTTGCTGAAGTGTTAATGTTTTCACTGTATTATGTTATTTAACTTTGTCTATGTTATCAATTTTTTGAGTTTTATGGCTTTATGCCATTAAATCTTTATTTACTTGAGTTTCATAAATTAGATATTGCAGTAGGGAGGTTTGAATTTGATATAAAGCTGTGATGTTTTATTTTTTTTTTCCCGAGGGAGGAAGTTGAAGAGGGGAAGTCGAAGAGGAGAAGTGAGCGAAGAGTCAGAGAGGGAGATGAAGCAAGTAGTCGAGAAAATGAAGGATATTTTCGCTCCATAAATTGCCGCAGTTGACTTATCTGTAGGACCGAGTTGCTCTGGTATGAAGGAGAGGAGGACGCCAAGATTGGTACCGAAGGAGGTGACGCAGGAATCTGAATGGAGGCCAGCTGAAAAAACACACAAAATTTCGGTCGAACCCTGCTGGACTGGTTGACATTAAGGAAATGGCAAGATTTACCGCCCCAGCTCTCCATTTTCCTTTCCTTCCTATCCCACCTTTCCTTTTTCTATTACTCTCCTATTCTACTCCCTTCCTTTTTCTATTCCTTCATTTACTATTTCTTTCTTATTCGAATCATTAGCTAATTTAGATACTAATGCCTATTATATAGGGGTATAGTGTTTGCTCAGGTCAGGTAATTGTTGTTTTGTTTCTGAATATAAAGTTCGAGGCCGGATTTTTTTCCCTCCGAAGGCTGCATCTCACGACGAGAAGTTGCTTCAGTTGTAACTCGTCCGTGGTGATTTTTTTTGACGTTTCTCTGTTGTCCTGCGCCCACTGCTTCTGCCTGCAACTTCAGAAGACTGCAACCACCCTTCCCTCGACTTCAGGTGACCACCGCTCTCTTCCTATGACTTTAGAAGACCACATACCTCTTTCCTACAACTCCAGGTAATTGTAACGGCCTGCATGTGACTCCAGAAGACCGCAGACCTCCTTCTCGCTACTCTAGGTGACCAGAGCTGCCTGCCTGTGACTCCAAACGGCCGCAAAATCTATTTTTAACGACTCTAGAGTGTCGCGACTCTCTTTCTGCTATTCCTAAAGGCTTCCAGCTGCCTCCTGCCCTCTCCAACATCTTTCGGTGGCCCGTCCGACTCCTCTCAGCAGCCTCATGCCTTGCTAGCCACCATTCAACTGTCTTTCCAACCCTTCCCAGCAACCTGCCAGTCGCGTACAACCTTCCAGCAACCACGCGCACCTACAGCTTTCCGACGCGCCCGGCGGCTCCCTTTTTCAACCGTCGGCCCCCTCTTCCAGCCGTCGGCCAACACCTGTCTTGTTGTCGGTGTACCCAGACTTCCTTCGCTATTTCTAGTCTTGTTTTTATTATTATTGAGTCTGAATGTATCTGAGATATCTTTTGCGTAATAAAATTTGTTCTCGTCTTATTAGGTTTAGTTATCTCTGGTATCATTTGGTATCAAAGCTAGCTCAACCCTTGTCCTATTATAGGGTTCCTTAAAGTTCGCCAATTATTTTCATTCTCTGCCCTCTTTCTTTATTTTCGTCCACTCTATTTTTATCTTTTCTTCCAGTCTTTTTGTTCTTTCTCTTTCTCTTTTACCTTTTCTTCCGCAGCTTCCAAGCATTCAACCATGCCCTCGAGGAGATACTTGTCAAATTCTACCCCGGATGAAATAAAATGGAAGATTCGTCGTCTGTAATAGAGATTAGCAGAGATGGAGAATGGAAACCAAGATGAAATTATGCTTGAACGCAATTTAGAGAGTCAACGTGACTCTAGGGACGAAGATTAGAACTTGTTCCACAAGGAAGATATCAGTGATGAGGAATACCGACTACATTGCTTTGGAATGCAATATCAGAGGAGACCGAGAGAAGAGGCCACTTTCGGGAGCCAACGAGATTTTGGCATCAAGATGGATTTTCTAGAATTTGAAGGAGGTATGGATCCAGGTGAGTTTATCGAGTGGGCAATCAGTTGAACTGATCTTTGAATACAAGGATGTTCCAGAGGACTAACAAGTCAAGTTAGCTATCATTAAACTAAAGAAGAATGCCTCCTTATGGTGGGAGAATTTGCAGATGCAAAGGAGATGAGAAGGCGGTGAAAAGATAACTAAGTGAGAGAAGATGAAGAAGGTAATGCAGAAGTACCTCCCTCTTCACTATCACTAGGACATGTTTTTGAAACTCCATAACTTGCAACAACGAGATCTTTCAACGGAGGAGTTCACAACCCAGTCCGGCTACTTGCAACTGAAGTGTGAACTAACGGAGCCAGAGGAGCATATGGTAGCGAGATACCTTGAGGGTTTAAAGCCTGCCAATAGCAACGTGGTGCACTACAACCGTACTAGACGTTGGGGGGATATCCGGACTTTAGTCTTGAAGGTGGAGAGGCAGCATAAATAGAGGAGGCAACAGTCGTTTTTCAAGCCACCAACTACAACCAAGCATTCTCTTGCAACTACCACAACCGATAAGGGTACTCCGGAAGGGACTTGCAGGGTTGGACATGGAAATGATAAGACAAACAAGAGTGGGAAGAAGCATGAGACTGCTAGCTCCTCCAATACAGTGCCGACCAGGAAGTGTTTCTGGTGCCACGACTACAGTCACATAGCCTTCATCTTCTTCACCTTCACAGTTTAGGGTGTCGTCAAGGAGTCAGAGGATAGCCCAGAGGAGGAGCTTCAGCTTCATGGAGATGAGGGAGAAGCATTAGTTATTCGACGATTTTCGTTGTCCGAGACAGAGGGGGATCAATCTTGATTGAGGCATATTAATTTTCACAACAAGTGCACCGTCAAGGGCAAGATTTGCAGCTTAATCATAGATAGTGAGAGTTATGAGAATGTGGTGTCAATGTTGATGATGAAGAAGTTTGGATTTGACACGTAGAAGCATCCCCAGTCATATTCCCTCACCCCACCTGACTGAAGAAGAGAAATGAGATACGTGTAGTTCAACAGTGCCTAGTTGACTTCTTCATTGGGGATCAACTATAGGAGCAAGTACGGTGCGATGTGGTTCCTATGTACACCTGCCACATTCTGTTGGGTATGTGTTGGCAATTCAATTGCAAGACTCAACACAATGGCTTCAGAAATACTTACTCCCTTAAGAATGATGGGAAACATATCATCTTGCTATCAGCTGAGAATATGAAGGGCGGAGGCGACACAGAGGAAACATAAGATTTTTCGACCACTTTCCTACAGTTAGTTAGAGATGCCCCAGTGGCACTAGCATTTGTTCTTCTAGAGGGAACAAAGGAGGAAAGTGAGGTACCATCACCACTGTGACCACTGCTACAAGACTTCCAGGATATCTTGACTGACAGTAAGCCATAGTGGTTTTTTTCGCCGAGGGACATCCAACACGCGATAGACCTTTTACTAGGATCAATATTGTCAAACCGACCTACCTAAAGATTGAGACTTGTGGAGTACAAGGAGCTACAACGACAGATGCAGGATCTCATCACGAGGGGACTAGTCAAAGAGAGCACCGAACCATGTGTTGTTCTTGCCTTGATGGTGCCACAGAAGGATGGGCCATGGTGGATGTGCATTAAAAACAGAGTCATTAACAAGATTACTATCAAGTATTGTTTTTTATACTTTGCTTGAATGATCTCTTCGACCACCAGATATGGTTGTGGTCAGGAGACGAGTGGAAGACCGTTTTCAAGTCATGGGATGGGCTCTATGAGTAGACCGTCATGCCTTTCGGCCAGTTGAGCATGCCCAACACTTTCATGAGATTGATGAACCAAGTATTTTGGGTTCACATTGGGAAGTTTGTTGTGGTCTACTTTGACAACATTATGATATACAACCGAGTGGAGGGGGATTACTTGCATCACTTGAAGGCACTGCTCGAGCTATTATGAGTCGAGCAGTTATATGCCCATCTGAAGAAATGTCACTTCATGACAAACCAAGTATGTTTTATGGGTTACATCGTATCTAGTGTAGACATTCAGATGAACCTCTCAAAGATAGAGACTGTTATCAGTTGTACCACACTATAGTCTTTCACCGAGCTGAGGCATTTTCTGGGGCTAACATTGTTCTATCAGAGATTCATTAGGAACTTCATCATTGCCCCTCTGATTGAACTTTTGAAAGGAAAGGAGTTTACTTGGACAGTAGCAGCTTAGGCTAGTTTTGACACTAAAGAAAAAAATGACTCGGGATCCCGTGCTAGCATTACCAGACTTCTACTAGCTATTTGAGGTAAAAATGCAATGCATCTGGGGTGGGGATAAGGGCGGTGTTGAGCCAGGGAGGACACCCATCGCTTTCTTCAGTAAGAAGTTGAATAAATTCAAGAGGAAGTACTCGGCTTATGACAAGGAGTTCTATGTCATTATGAGAGCCCTGGAGCACTGGAGTCATTACTTGCTAACGAGTGATTTCACACCTTTTACGGACCAGGAAGCCTTAAAATTCCTTGACAACTAGAGCAAACTAAAGAACCGACACACCACTTGGGTGGTGTTCCTAGCCTCGTTGCAGTTCGTGCTTAAGCATAAGGCGGGGAACCAAAACCGCGTAACAGGCGCACTTAACCGTCGAGATTTGTTGATCACTTCCATGCAGGCTTGAGTTGTGGGTTTTGACGTCATAAGGGATTTGTATGAAGCAAATGAAAACTTCAAGAATATCTGGGAGCAATGGAAGGAGAAACCAACTGGGTAGTAGTACCGAGCAGATGGAT